CCAGTCCCTCGACTTCCTGGCGCTGACGGAAACATGGATTACCACTGAAAACACTGCTACTCCTACTGCTCTCTCCTCGTCTGACCATGTGTTCTCGCATACCCCGAGAGCATCTGGTCAGAGGGGTGGTGGCACAGGAATCCTCATCTCTCCCAAGTGGTCATTCTCAATTTTTCCCCTAACCCATCTGTCTATCTCCTCATTTGAATTCCACGCTGTCACAGTCACTAGCCCATTTAAGCTTAATATCCTTGTCATCTATCGCCCTCCAGGTTCCCTTGGAGAGTTCATCAATGAGCTTGACGCCTTGATAAGTTCCTTTCCTGAGGATGGCTCACCCTTCACAGTTTTGGGGGATTTCAACCTCCCTACGTCTACATTTGACTCATTTCTCTCTGCCTCCTTCTTTCCACTCCTCTCCTCTTTTGACCTCACCCTCTCACCGTCCCCCCCTACTCACAAGGCAGGCAATACGCTTGACTTCATCTTTACTAGATGTTGCTCTTCTACTAATCTTACTGCAACTCCCCTCCATGTCTCCGACCACTACTTTGTATCCTTTTCTCTCTCGCTCTCCTCCAACACTACTCACTCTGCCCCTACACAGATGGTAATGCGCCGCCGCAACCTTCGCTCTCTCTCTCCCACTACTCTCTCCTCTTCCATCCTATCATCTCTTCCCTCTGCTCAATCCTTCTCCCTCCAATCTCCTGATTCTGCCTCCTCAACCCTCCTCTCCTCCCTTTCTGCATCCTTTGACTCCCTGTGTCCCCTATCCTCCCGGCCGGCTCGGTCCTCCCCTCCAGCTCCGTGGCTTGATGACTCATTGCGAGCTCACAGAACAGAGCTCCGGGCAGCTGAGCGGAAATGGAAGAAAACTAAACTCCCTGCCGACCTGGCATCTTTTCACTCCCTCCTCTCTACATTTTCTTCATCTGTTTCTGCTGCTAAGGCCACTTTCTACCACTCTAAATTCCAAGCATCTGCCTCTAACCCTAGGAAGCTCTTTGCCACATTCTCCTCACTGCTGAATCCTAACCCCCCCCTCCTCCCTCTCTGTGGATGACTTCGTCAACCACTTTGAAAAGAAGGTTGACGACATCCGATCCTCGTTTGTTAAGTCTAATGACACTGCTGGTCCTGCTCACACTGCCCTACCCTATGCTCTGACTTCTTTCTCCCCTCTCTCTCCAGATAAAATCTTGCGACTAGTGACTGCAGGCCGCCCAACAACCTGCCCGCTTGACCCCATCCCCTCCTCTCTTCTCCAGACCATCTCCGGTGACCTTCTCCCCTAACTCACCTCGCTGATCAACTCATCCTTGACCGCTGGCTATGTCCCTTCCGTCTTCAAGAGAGCGAGAGTTGCACCCCTTCTCAAAAAACCAACACTCGATCCCACTGATGTCAACAACTACAGACCAGTATCCCTTCTTTCTTTTCTTTCCAAAACTATTGAGTGTGCCGTCTTTAGCCAACTCTCTTGCTATCTCTCTCAGAATGACCTTCTTGATCCAAACCAGTCAGGTTTCAGGACTGGTCATTCAACTGAGACTGCTCTTCTCTGTGTCACGGAGGCTCTCCGCACTGCTAAAGCTAACTCTCTCTCCTCTGCTCTTGTCCTTCTAGACCTGTCTGCTGCCTTTGATACTGTGAACCATCAGATCCTCCTCTCCACCCTCTCCGAGCTGGGCATCTCCGGCGCGGCTCACTCCTGGATTGCGTCCTACCTGACCGGTCGCTCCTACCAAGTGGCGTGGCGAGAAGCTGTCTCCGCACCACGTGCTCTCACCACTGGTGTCCCCCAGGGCTCAGTTCTAGGCCCTCTCCTTTTCTCCCTATACACCAAGTCACTTGGCTCTGTCATATCCTCACATGGCCTCTCCTATCATTGCTACGCTGACGATACACAACTAATCTTCTCCTTTCCCCCTTCTGATAACCAGGTGGCGAATCGCATCTCTGCATGTCTGGCAGACATATCAGTATGGATGACGGATCACCACCTCAAGATGAACCCTGGCAAGACGGAGCTGCTCTTCCTCCCGGGGAAGGACTGCCCGTTCCATGATCTCGCCATCACGGTTGACAACTCCGTTGTGTCCTCCTCCCAGAGTGCGAAGAGCCTTGGCGTGACCCTGGACAACACCCTGTCGTTCTCCGCTAACATCAAGGCGGTGACCCGATCCTGCAGGTTCATGCTCTACAACATTCGGAGAGTACGACCCTGCCTTACACAGGAAGCGGCACAGGTCCTAATCCAGGCACTTGTCATCTCCCGTCTGGATTACTGCAACTCGCTGTTGGCTGGGCTCCCTGCCTGTGCCATTAAACCCCTACAACTCATCCAGAATGCCGCAGCCCGTCTGGTGTTCAACCTTCCCAAGTTCTCTCACGTCACCCCCCTCCTCCGCACACTCCACTGGCTTCCAGTTGAAGCTCGCATCCGTTACAAGACCATGGTGCTTGCCTATGGAGCAGTGAGGGGAACGGCACCTCCGTACCTTCAGGCTCTGATCAGTCCCTACACCCAAACGAGGGCATTGCGTTCATCCACCTCTGGCCTGCTGGCTCCCCTTCCTCTGCGGAAGCATAGTTCCCGCTCAGCCCAGTCAAAACTGTTCGCTGCTCTGGCACCCCAATGGTGGAACAAGCTCCCTCACGATGCCAGGACAGCGGAGTCACTCACCACCTTCCGGAGACATTTGAAACCCCACCTCTTTAAGGAATACCTGGGATAGGATAAAGTAATCCTTCTACCCCCCCTCCCCCCAAAAAAAAAAAAAAAAAAAACATAAATAAAATAAAATATATATAAAAACATTTAGAAAAAAACTAAATTAAAATAAAAATAAAAAATAAAATGTTAAGTGGTTATCCCACTGGCTATAGGGTGAATGCACCAATTTGTAAGTCGCTCTGGATAAGAGCGTCTGCTAAATGACGTAAATGTAAATGTAAATGTAAATTTCTTCAAACCAAGCTGCGTACCTATTGCAGATTCAGTCTTCCCAGCCTGGTGCAGGTCTGCAATTTTGTTTCTGGTGTCCTTTGACAGCTCTTTGGTCTTGGCCATAGTGGAGTTTGGAGTGTGACTGTTTGAGGTTGTGGACAGGTGTCTTTTATACTGATAACAAGTTCAAACAGGTGCCATTAATACAGGTAACGAGTTGGAGGACAGAGGAGCCTCTCAAAGAAGAAGTTACAGGTCTGCGAGAGCCAGAAATCTTGCTTGTTTGTAGGTGACCAAATACTTATTTTCCACCATAATTTGCAAATAAATTCATTAAAAATCCTACAATGTGATTTTCTGGATTTTTTTTCCTCAATTTGTCTGTCATAGTTGACGTGTACCTATGATGAAAATTACAGGCCTCTCTCATCTTTTTAAGTGGGAGAACTTGCACAATTGGTGGCTGACTAAATACTTTTTTCCCCCACTGTAACAGAAATGTAACTCAATTCAATAAAAGTATTGTGCTTAAACTGTTCAAGTTCTATGTGGGATTTAATGACTTTGTTTGAAATCAGAGCCATTTTAGATGGTACATTTCTCTCTGAGGTGTTTCTGGAACCCAGACTCTAGCATGTTGTAAATTAAAATTACAAGAAAGAAAGAAAGAACGTGGACATCCTCCTCAATATCTGCAATTAAAAGTTATCAGCCAGTATAAAGCCAGAAGTAAAGATATGACCTCATGTTTCAACATTAAATTAGTATTGGCTCCTGCTGGAACAGTGGAACACAATAGGTATAACAACAAACATCCAGAAAACAAGGCACAAATACATAAATATAAATGTACAAGGGCAGGAAGAGACGTTAAGTAGCGAGACAGGTGAAAAGACATCCTGTTCCTCCCCTGCAGGGACACAGTTCCAGGAACATTTTCTCATAGCAACTATGGATTTAATGTCAATAAAAGAGCCAGAATGACCCCCTGCTAACCGGATGAGAAACTCCAGCAGGCTTGTAGATAATATGCCCTAGCCTTCTCATGACACGGCCCATCCCTGGGTTACGGTAACTGGCTATTTTCAGGGAAGTGAAAGCTGGTGGCGGTGGCCTTCTGGGGTGACACTCAGAGCAGGGTCATGGGGACCAGGTGTGGTAAAAGGGACAAGTGGCTGTGATTTCATTTGAAAGGGTCTTAATCTGATAACGTAAATGGCCAAACGGGAGCCTCATTGCCACTATTTCAGCAGTGAATGGCGGTGCAGTCGTACTGGCCTTTCTGATGAGACTAAATAGAGACGATGTTCCCATCACCACTGACTCACCAGCAGGTTACTATCCACACCGCAGCCAAATAAATAGAGGGATTTTAGGTTCTGACTGGTGGAAACAAAGTCCCTTGAATGACATTTTCCTATGTATTATGTCCATTGTGTTCTCAGATTGGGGCAGATAAAGGTGAGGAGATAGTGAGAGGAAACCCCTTCAGACCTTTGAGATGTGCTGCCAATTAAAATAATCCAGTGCGGCACATGGTGTCAATTCCCCAGTATTCGCTAGAGTTGTGCCTACTGGTATCTTTTCTTGACAGAGGGGTGAGCCAGAGACGTATTATAGCGTTTTTTTTCTTCAAGCATAGCCAAAACATAGACAAAACAGATCAATGTATGTTATGTAACAGATTTATTTGCGTATCAGATTTCCACCTCTTAAAGATTTCCACTTGTAAAAGTGTTGCACTAGAAATATTTCGGGTTATCACAGTACAGTATCAACAGGGGACATAATATTACTGCGAAAAAATACATTTGACGGGTACAAAAATCTATTTGCTACAACAATACATTTGTTTTATATAATCAAATGTGTCACAGAAGCAAAGAACAGGATCCCTGTGATTGTTCAACATAGTGTGGACATCATAATACAGTAGTGTACTTCAGTTCTTGGACAAGTATCAGGACACATCATTTCCACCTAACCACAACATGTCATACTCACAACTACCTAATTCTGGCCATTGCACATTGCATTGTTCAAAATAGTTTTACATATCAGCTGTAGTTTTAGCATGCAAGTATTATATTAGACATCAGATACTGGCCAATGTTAATTCAAGTCTAAACAACGTAGGTGAGCTGACATGACAGCAATATCAAATCAAAACAATATTCAACAAAAGACAAAAATGCTGTATCAGTGCAAAGAACGAAATTGGAACATAAATAAGTCTCACCTAAGAACTCACCTAAGACAATTTCAAGGTTTGTAAATTGCAACAGAGAAGAGCTACTGTGACACAATCAATAGAACTAACTTGTCTCAAAGTCTCATATTTGCTGACTTTAGTGTACTTTTTTAATCATGTATAGGAGATGCTGCATGGTGGTTGCACAAACTCTCATTTGAACATGTTTTTTAGTCCAGGAATTGGGGTCTGTGCAGCTGCGGCAGCCCCTTAAAGTGGGAAAACCATTTTCAAAACAGAGGAAATCTGACCAGAGCAGATAAAGCCATACCACCTCCATTCACCTTCATGGAGAGAGGGAGGATGAAGGTCTTGTTGTGTCCTAAAACATCTGGATCATAGACTCCCTGGCCTTGCCCACTCCAACCCATTTGACTGGAAAGAGAAAAAGTTGATTAAGAGCTATTGAAAAAATGTAATGTATTGATTTAGTTAATTTTAAAATAACATGTAAGTCCTGAATTTGGAATAGAATACTTACCGGGTACACCAACGTGGTTCTCTATAAAGCGGATGTAGTTCTGGGCTTTGACTGGCAGATCTTCCCACTTTCTACAGGCTGAGGTGTCACTCTTCCAGCCAGGCAGTTTCTCATACTCCACCTCCACTTTCTGCAGGACGTCCATGTTAGCTGAGGAGACAGGGAGGGGACATGGGTCATACAGAATATAGAATAAATGTTTTGTATTTCCAACATCATCTTCTTTGTTTGATTCACCACGTATACATGTATGAAGGGAATATGTACACTTGTAAATGCAGTCAGTCTTACCTGGGAAATAGGGAATCTTTTTGCCATTGATCTTATAAGACACTCCCACTTTGATTTCATCCATCACGTCAAGGATATCAAGTTTGGTTAATGCAAACCTGTTATTGAAAAAGCAGGGTAAAAATGTTACATACATCTCTCTTCTCTTGTCAACTCCAATACATTTCAAATGGCATCTAAGCTAAACGCTCCCAATAAGATCCACTAGGTGGCAATGTAGCCCGACTTTTCTATTACAAAAACAGGACCGCTCAACTGTAGGGCAGGGCAAACCCTGCAGTGACACTCACGCTGTGAAGCCGTTGATCATGTTCGCGTAACGCAGGATGACCAGATCCAGCCAACCACAGCGTCGTTTCCTTGCTGTGGTCACGCCCACCTCATGTCCCCGGGTCTGCAGCAGCTCCCCAACCTCCTGTAAGAACGGATGACAGCAGAGAAGCTGGTCTGGGCAATCGGACCTTCAACTACTCTATTCTGTGTAGACTTGATTACTTTGAGTTGAATTCTGACATTATGTTCTACACTATATATCTCCTCTAATTTGTATTTAATGTATCATGTTTGGGGTTTGACTCACATTGAGTTGTTCTGTGGGGAACGCCCCGATGCCCACTCTAGTGGTGTAGGCCTTCACCACCCCGTACACATCACCAATGTTCAGAGGGGGGATGCCCAGTCCGGTACACACACCACCCACGGTGCAGTTTGATGATGTCACAAATGGGTATGTACCTGGGAGAAGAGAGCAAGATATTAAAGGAATGCATTTGTGATAGCCTCCTGGATGTGCACCAGACCCAGAACTATCGGGGAAGGTCTTCTTTTGAAATGTACTATTTCCTTATAACGACTATATGTGGCTATGTCAACAGGTGTAAACAAGGACTGTGTAGACCCAAACACAAACCTATTCTAAGGAAACATACCATGCCTATCAACATACCATGACTCTCGGACCAACAGTGCTTACTCATATTGTTAGAGCCGATTTGGGCATATTTTGTATAAAAGACTGAACATACTGAGCTCCATGTACATTTGTGTAAATATATTAAATATTAATGTATATGATGAAATATTAGGTACGTACCTTTATGATTTATTTTCCGGATTGAGATATATTCATTTGTTATTAGTGTAACTCAGTTTTTGGCCCCCCCTCTTGCCCATTCATTGTACTGTGTTAATTGTGTTAGTATAAAGGCAGGAAGTTGGGCCTTCGGGGGGAGGAGTCCTTGCTAGATGCGGGAGCGGTATAGTTTTTTGACCATATAGACATACAGAAATACAGACAGACAGGTCATATTATATTATGTATTTGCATTTCAAGTAATCTCTGCTTTAAGTTGATTGGAGAATACCTTTTGTTAGATAAGAAGAATAAACATTTTTTGTTGCACTATATCCCTGGATCTCATTGAATGTTTGGCTGTTTGGAAACGTTGAGTGTGGACTGTATGCGTCCGAAACAACCCCGCTTCAGGCTAGGGCAGTGGCTATGGTAAAGAGGAAAGGAAGCCACTACAATCAAGTCAAAAAACTCCGTGAAGGATTACTACCGGAAGGAAATCTCCGGTTCGGACACACGCTGGATTTTGTTCTATTTGTAATTGCATTCGGACCATAAGGACAGCTCGCTTGGAAGGATTTGAACTCCTAGATTTCGCCAGCCGTGAGTAACCACTGCGAATGAATGAGCTGCCCTGTTCAAGGCGAGCGTTTGATCATGCATATTATGGAAGCGCAAATGTGCTTATAATTGGAATGTTTGATAAACTTGGGAATGGAATTCAAAATACAGCGCTGTGAAAACAATTAAGAAGTTTAAGTTCGGGAAACACAGATCCTATGCACAATGTAGCCTAATCATATATCTAATATTTGGCCTAACGTGGAAATGCAATCCATCAACGCAACGAATGCAACTTAAGGATCTAAAGATACTGCGTGTTAAAACTTCATTAAAGGGACAAAACCTCAACGGGATGAAATGTTTAAAACGCATCTAAAATGCCAAACTTGCACATGTGCAATTCAAAATGGGTCAATATGCTGAAATGGATGACTGTGTTTTTAAAGATTAAAGGAGGTCTAAAGGGGCATTACGTTTAACAATCAAACCAACAACCGTGTCATTGTAAATTGAGTGAACTAAAAGTGAATGATGGAGGAGGAAATCCCAAATAAGACTCCACTGGAGAGGGCAGAGGAGCATCTAAATTCACTCTATGTAGCCCGGAGAGGCAAACTTGGAGTGTGTACACGCAAAATGAATGAAATAAAAGTCCTTCTTGTTGATGGAGGAAACATTGCAACTGTGAATGAGAGTCTTGAAGCATTTGATGCGGTGCTCAATGACTTTAAGAAGGCTCATGAATCTGTGCTAGAGCTGGTCACAGAGGAGGAACAGGAACAGGAGAGCATTAACTATTATCAACCAAGAATGAGAACTTATGAACATTTCCTGAAAGAGGTGGAAATATGGAAAAAGGCTGAAGTTGAGCCACAAACGCTCATTGAACCACATGACAGCATTTCCAATGTGTCAAAAATATCAAGTAAAACGAAGTATTCTAAGACTGCTTCCTCAGTGTCCTCTGAACGCCTTAAAGCCGAGGCAGAACGAGCAGCTCTACTAGCTCGCCAAGCATCATTACAAGACAAGCATGCATTGGAACTGGAGAAAGCTCAACTGAATGTTAGGATGGAAAAAATGGCACTGGAAACGGACATAGCAGCATATAATGCCAAACTGAAGGTCCTGGAGAGTACCGAGTCAACTTCTCAATCCCATTCTGTGGCAGCCCATTTACTAAGCCAAGAAGATGGAATGAACTCTTATTTTGAGAAACAGGAACCAGAGGTCTATGTGGAACCTGAACCATCACCTGTTGAGTTTGCTGCATTAGGTGCAGTTCCAAAGACCCCACTACAAAGAGTTTTACAACAACCGACCACAAAGCCATCAAACCCTATTCCGAAAACAGTCGTAAACCACACTCTTCAGCAGCCAACAGCAAGGTCTAGCAATCGACACAGAATCAACACTGCGGGTATCAGCCATAATACCAGCCATGATAACCTCTCTACTGTCATGCAAAGGCAGAATGAAATTGCTGACCTCCTTGTACTACAGCACAAACAAGCCACACTCCCTGTTAGGGAGATACCTATGTTTGACGGTGATCCTCTAAACTTTAGGCCATTCATGCGTGCATTTGAGCATGGTATAGAAGATAAGACAAGCAGTCACCAGGATAGGCTCTATTACCTGGAACAATACACCTCTGGTCAGCCCAAGGATCTGGTCCGTAGTTGTCTGCATATGGAAGCCAGAAGAGGCTATGCAGTAGCTAAGAGGTTGTTAAAGGAACACTTTGGCAATGAAATCAAAGTCACCACTGCTTACATGGAAAAGGCTTGGAACTGGACAAACATCAAACCCGATGATGGAAAGGGACTGGGTGGTTATGCACTCTATCTAAGAGGTTGCTGTAACGCCATGCAAGACCTACAGAACATGGAAGAGCTTAATCTTCCCTCCAACATAAAGCTGATCATGTCAAAACTTCCCTACAAACTAAGGGAAAAATGGAGGTCTATGGCATGTGATATTTTAGAGAGAAGTCACCTGAGGGCCCAGTTCAGTGACCTGGTAACGTTCATGGAAAAACAGGCCAAAATACTGCAGGATCCGTTGTATGGAGATATTCAAGATCCCCTGTACAACAAAAGGTTTTTAAAACCCAAAACAGAAGCTGACTTTAAACAGCAGTTCAAGTCCAAGAGTAGGGGAAGCAGCTTTGCCACTACAGTAGCTGTAGTGGCAGATTGTAACTCTGAAAAACCTTTAAAAGAACAAACATTCAAAGTAAAGAGACCAGGCACCTACCCTTCTGATGCTCCCAGTATCTCATGTATATTTTGTGCTGGTGCGCATTTATTGGTCGACTGCCAACAGGTGAAGGCACAGCCACATGAATTCAAGGTTGAGTTTCTGAGATCAAAAGGCCTTTGTTTTGGCTGTTTGATGAGAGGACACTTAAGCAGAGAATGTAAAAGAAGGATGACCTGTCAGAGCTGTCAAAGAAAGCACCCCACTATCCTGCACATTGAAGGAAGAGAGAGATTTAGATCTCAAAAGGCAGATATGAGTGGTGTAGCAGTAAAGCGGGAGGAGACTGTCAGCAGTGCTCTTGTTTCACTGGAAGCTGGTGAAGATACCGGGGCCGGTACAGATTGTGCACTTGCAATTGTGCCAGTTCAAGTAAAGGTGGCAAATGGAAGCAAGTCTGTGTTAACCTATGCGTTTCTCGATTCTGGTAGCTCAGCAACATTTTGTACGGAGAGACTCATGAGGCAGTTGCAAGCTAAAGGCAGTGCGACTGAAATTCTGCTACGCACAATGGGGCAGGAGAGTCCTACCAAGAGCTTTGAGATATCTGGATTAGAGATTGGCAATGTGGAAGGCGACACATTTCTTGCATTACCAAAGGTCTACACCCAACATAAGATCCCAGTGACAAGAGAGAACATTCCCACTCAGAAAGAGCTCAAAAGGTGGCCATACCTGAAAGAGGTTCAGTTGAAGGAGATTGATGCCGACGTCGAACTTCTGATTGGCGTAAATGCTCCAAAGGCAATGGAACCCTGGCAAATCATAAATAGCCAAGGCAACGGACCGTATGCAGTGAAAACCCTCTTTGGATGGGTGATGAATGGTCCTCTCAACAGTTGTACCATGGCAGAAGAATCCGGGCGTCCTACGGTGATGGCCAATCGTATCTCAGTGGCCGACCTGGGGGTTCTTCTTGTAAATCAGTACAACCATGACTTCCCTGAGAGAGAGTATGAAGAGAAAAGTGAGATGTCAGCTGAGGATCGTAGGTTTATGGAGATAGTATCAAGCTCCATAACCCTCAAAGACCATCACTACTACTTACCGTTGCCCTTTCGCAACAAAGATGTAGTCCTGCCAAACAACCGTGACATGGCAAAGCAGCGGGCTCTAAATATTATCAGGAAGTTCAAGAAGGGCAAAGGTTACGCTGCAGAGTACAAAGGCTTCATGGAAGAGATGATAACAAAAGGTTACGCCGAGAAGGTACCACAAGAACAGCTCCTCAGAGAGAAAGGCAAGGTATGGTACATACCACACCATGGCGTTCACCATAAGCGCAAAGGAACGATATGAGTGGTGTTTGACTGTTCATCATCCTATAAAGGTACATCTCTTAACAGTGAACTCCTTCAAGGCCCTGACCTGGCAAACACGCTTATAGGAGTCTTGCTAAGATTTCGGCAAGAGCACATTGCCATGATGGCAGACATCGAAGGAATGTTCCATCAAGTACGTGTCCATGAAGATGACTTAGACTTCCTGCGATTCCTATGGTGGCCGGATGGTGATACTAACAAAAGATTGGAGGAGTACAGAATGACAGTACATCTTTTCGGTGCTATATCCTCTCCAAGTTGTGCAAACTTTGCACTGCGAAAGACTGCAGAAGACAACTGTGAGGGGTACGATGAAGAGGTGATTCAAACAGTCAAGTCCAACTTCTATGTTGACGACTGCCTCAAGTCAGTGGCCACAGAAGAACAAGCCATAGCTCTCACAAGAAACCTCAGGGATGTGTGCTCTCAAGGTGGGTTCAAATTGACCAAGTGGGTCAGCAACAGCTGCACTGTACTAGCTTCTATCCCTGATGAACACAAAGCCAAGCAGATAAAAGAACTGGACCTGGACAGAGAAAAGCTGCCTGTTGAAAGAGCACTTGGAATCCGATGGAACATTGAAAGGGATGTGTTTACCTTCCAGGTCACTGTCAAGAACAGACCCCTTACAAGAAGAGGTATTCTCTCAACTGTCAGCTCTATTTATGATCCATTAGGTTTCCTCGCCCCATTCGTATTAAAGGCAAAGCAAATTATTCAAGTGCTCTGCAAGCTAAAGTGTGGATGGGACGAAGTCATCCCTGAAGAACACTCTATTTCATGGAAGAGATGGCTCTCAGAGCTGGACCAGCTCTCCAGATTCCAGATCAACAGGTGTATGATGCCGGAGAACTTTGGTCAAATCAAGACCGCACAGCTGCATCACTTCGGTGATGCAAGTGAACAAGGTTATGGCACGGCAAGCTACCTTAGGTTCACAAACGTTATGGAAAAGGTCCACATCGCATTCATACTGGGGAAATCAAGGGTGACTCCACTCAAGCAGATGACGATCCCCAGACTGGAACTAGCTGCAGCAACATTGGCAGTGCGAGTGGACAGGATGTTAAGGTTGGAGCTCCAGATTGAACTTGAGGAGTCAACTTTCTGGACAGACAGCCAGTCGGTGCTAAAATACATCCGCAACGATACCAAGAGATTCCATACTTTTGTGGCGAATAGGGTTGCTATGATCCGTGACCTATCGAAAGCAAAACAGTGGAGGTATTTGAACTCCAAACACAACCCAGCCGATGATGCCTCAAGAGGATTACATGTTGAAACTTTCCTGAACTCAAAGAGATGGCGCAAAGGACCAGAATTCCTGGAGAAAACAGAAACACAATGGCCGAAAGTCCCCGAGGAGCTTGGCTCCATCCCTCCAGATGATCCAGAGGTGAGAAAAGACGTCATCGTAAACAGTACATGTGTGGAAGAAAAGAGTCCGACTAGCAAACTGATTGAGTACTATTCAACATGGAACAGCTTGAAGAAAGCAGTTGCCTGGATGCTGAAACTGAAGAGACTTCTACTACAGTTAAGCCAGAAAAGGAAAGTTCTCACCCAAACTGATCCAGGATCAGATCAGAGTCTGACAAACTCACTGAAGGAACAAATTGACAAGTTCAAACTGACGTTTGGAAAAGAAAGTCTGTCTGTAGATGACCTAGATGAAGCAGAAAAGGTCATCATTCGATTTGAGCAACGACAGCACTTTAAACAAGAAATTGCACTAGTTGTAAAAGGAAAACAATGTGCCAAGAGAAGCGGCTCAATCTGTAAGCTTGATCCAATAGTTGACAATGGCATTCTGAGAGTAGGAGGAAGGTTAAGCAAAGCTGCTATGCCTACGGAACTAAAGAATCCTATGATCCTGCCCAAAGACTCCTACATCTCCAGACTGATCTTACTCCACATCCATGAGCAGGTTGGCCACTCTGGGAGAGGTCACATGCTTTCTAGACTTCGCCAGCGATATTGGATACCCTGTGCCAACTCCTTAGCAAGGAAGATCCTTAAGAGCTGTGTCTTCTGCAGGCGGATGCAAGCTAGAGCTGGGGAACAGAAGATGGCTGACCTTCCACAAGATCGGGTAGCACCTGATTTGCCGCCTTTCACCCATGTGGGCATAGATTACTTTGGCCCCATAGAGGTGAAGCGAGGCCGCGTTCATGTGAAGCGGTATGGTGTGATCTTTACTTGCCTTGTGAGTCGAGCTGTCCATCTAGAAGTTGCTAGTTATCTGGATACTGATTCCTGCATCAATGCCCTGCGCAGGTTCATCTGTCGAAGGGGCCCAGTAACAAGTATCAGAACAGACAATGGCACCAACTTTGTCGGAACACACAGAGAGCTAGGAGAAGCTCTGAAAGAGCTGGATCACAACAAGATTCAAAATAAATTACTGAAGGAAGGAGTGACATGGTCATTCAACCCTCCCTCTGGAGCCCACCATGGGGGGGTATGGGAGAGGTTGATCCGACTGGTGAAAAAGATCCTCTATTCAGTCCTTAAAGAGCAAGTACTGGATGATGAGGCTTTGCAGACAGCCTTGTGTGAAGTTGAGGCGATTATGAACGACAGACCAATCACTACTGTAACAAATGACCCTAACGATCTAGAACCCCTGACTCCGAACCATCTGCTTCATCTGAAAGCAAAGCCAGTCCTGCCACCAGGACTATTCCAGAGAAGTGACCTATACTCACGAAGGAGATGGAAGCAAGTACAATATATCACTGACCTCTTCTGGAAGAGATGGATCAGGGAGTATCTTCCACTTATGCAGGAGCGGAACAAGTGGAACAAAACTAAGAGAAACTTCAGTCCTGGTGACCTTGTGGTCATCGTCGATGACACCGCCCCAAGGAACTCTTGGCTAATGGGGCGTGTGGTGAAGGCTTTGCCAGGGGCCAAAGGTCTTGTCCGGAGCGTCATGGTTAAGACTAAGACCAATATCCTACAGAGACCTATCAATAAACTCTGTCTGCTCCTTGAGGCGACGAAGTGAGACACACACACACACACACACACAGTGCTCCATCTTTGAATCACGTGCACCTCTGATTCGTTGATGTCGTACTCTTACATTCTTTGATGTCATACATTTTGTGGACGTCAAACTCTTGACATTTTTTGGAAGTTGAACACCTTTACACTTCAACTCAGACTGAGATCTATGGACTATTTTCCTATATGGCACCTTGTATATTTGTATATAGCTATGAACTGTAATGGTGCTCTGGTATAGAATGTTTTTGTATTGGCTCTACATTTGAATATTAAGTAATTGTTGTGCATTCAGTGCAGTCAACAATTAGGGGCCGGTATGTTAGAGCCGATTTGGGCATATTTTGTATAAAAGACTGAACATACTGAGCTCCATGTACATTTGTGTAAATATATTAAATATTAATGTATATGATGAAATATTAGGTACGTACCTTTATGATTTATTTTCCGGATTGAGATATATTCATTTGTTATTAGTGTAACTCAGTTTTTGGCCCCCCCTCTTGCCCATTCATTGTACTGTGTTAATTGTGTTAGTATAAAGGCAGGAAGTTGGGCCTTCGGGGGGAGGAGTCCTTGCTAGATGCGGGAGCGGTATAGTTTTTTGACCATATAGACATACAGAAATACAGACAGACAGGTCATATTATATTATGTATTTGCATTTCAAGTAATCTCTGCTTTAAGTTGATTGGAGAATACCTTTTGTTAGATAAGAAGAATAAACCTTTTTTGTTGCACTATATCCCTGGATCTCATTGAATGTTTGGCTGTTTGGAAACGTTGAGTGTGGACTGTATGCGTCCGAAACAACCCCGCTTCAGGCTAGGGCAGTGGCTATGGTAAAGAGGAAAGGAAGCCACTACACATATTCATGCGTCTATACACGTCTTGTACGGTCAGCCATAGGGGAGTAAAGTATTTCCTTACCAAAGTCAATGTCAAGCAGGGCAGCGTTCGCGCCCTCCACCAGAATCTTCTTAGGGGGTCCATTAATAGCGTTGTACATGAAATAGACACCGTCTCGCACCATGGGTCTTATCCGCTCAGCATACTCCTAAAAGGTTAGACAGGATGCACAGATGAGATTTGTTCCTACTGTATGGATAGATGGATCATGAGAGCAGAGCTACTGTAATTGTCATCTGCTTCTTCGATGCTACATTTAGACATCACTGCATGACGGAGTGGATTTCAGGGTTATTATGGGGTGATGATGATTATGATGATGAGTTAGGAGTAGGCCCGCTCTGTTACAATTCTGACATACGTTTTCTACTAGCTGAGTTGTTTACCCCATTGCCATGTCAACACATACTGAACACAAACAAACATTTAAAAAAGCACACTTCATGAAACTCACCTTTAATTTCTTCAGCTGACCTTCAACATCTACCACCAGTGTGGGGAACATGGCCTGGTACTGCTTAGCAAGATTGTTGAATCTATGACCAAGCCACCATCAGAAGAACATGAATATACTGTTATTTTCATAATAAATGTTCCTTTTATCCAGAGAGCCAAATGCCAACTGGCACTCCCGATAACCATCAGCCTCTCCTGGTGAAGCTGATGGTAATGATGGTGATACTTACCTTGTAGAAAACTCTTTGAAATCATCTAGGAGGTCACAGATACGCAGCCCCGTACGTGACGCTTTGCTTGAGTAGGTCGGTCCAATGCCTTTCTTTGTGGTTCCAATACTGTATGAAGTAAATGTTGAATTATAACACTATAATCGAGGAATAGAAGATTTCAACACTTCAGGAATGCTAACAAAACACTGCAGGTAATGCTTAATAAGACGTTACAAGCATTGTATGCCTTTATAATGAATCATGATTCATGACAAGTCTTACAATGCATTATTCAGTGGTGTAAAAATACTTGTAAGTACTAATTCAGTCGTTTTCTGGGGTATCTGTACTTTACTTTACTATTTATACACTTTTACTTTTACTCCACTACATTCCTAAAGAAAATAATGTACTTTTTACTCCATACATTTTCCCTGACACCCAAAAGTCCTCGTTACATTTTTTATGCTTAGCAGTACAGAATATTGGTCCAATTCAGGCACTTATCAAGAGAACATCCCTGGTCATCCCTACTGCCTCTGATCTGGCGGACCCACTAAACACAAATGCTTCATTTGTCAATTATGTCTGAGTGTTGGAGTGTGCCTCTGGCAATCCGTAAATTTAAAAAACAAGAAAATTGTTCTGGTTTGCTTAATATAAGGAATTTGAAATTATTTATACTTTTACTTTGATACTTACAGTAAGTATATTTTAGCGATTACATTTACCTTTGATACTTAAGTACTGTATTTTCAAAACAAAATACTTTTAGACATTTACTCAAGTAGTATTTTATTGGTTGACTTTCACTTTTACTTGAGTCATTTTCTATTAAGGTATCTTAACTTTTACTCAAGTATGACAATTGGGTACTCTTTCCACCACTGGCATAATTAATGCATCTTAATGCATTACACCTGCAGGCTTTAGTAGTGTTGTTTGAGCCCTGCAGAAGAAGGTGTAACTTCCTGTTCTTACCTTTTTCCTTCCTGTGCTTGTCTCTGTACCTCCTGGAGCCCGTCGACTGCCTGGTGGAAGTCAAACACTGTCCAAAGGGTAAACAGGTTATTTCACACCATGGACACATAAACACAACAGCAGAACATGTCATTGGAACATGTGAGCAACATGTGAGACTATGGAATAAATGTCTCCCCATGTTCTAAAATTATCTGCAACAATTGTGGTCACAACAATGATATGAAGTGCAAACATATAAATCAATTAGCAATTGATTTGCAGACAATGAGCAATAATCACATCCGTTACTTTAAACAAACAACTGTGCTTGTTTTGTATTCCAATTGGTAGTTACAGTGTTGTCCCATTGCTGCAACTCCCCTACACTCGGGAGAGGCGAAGGTCAAGAGCCATGCGTCCTCCGAAACACAACCCTGCCAAGTCGCACTGCTTCTTGACACACTGCTCACTTAACACAGAAGCCAGCCACACCAATGTGTCAGAGGAAACACCATCCAGCTGGAGACCCAGCCCGTCACAAGGAGTTGCTAGAGCACAATCGGACGAGGAAATCCCGGCCAGCCAAACCCTCCCCTGGGCCAATTGTGCACCACCTCATGGGTCTCCAGGTCACGGCTGGCTCTGGGATCGAACCCGGGTCTGTAGTGATGCCTCAAGCACTGTGATGCAGGTACTGGCTACCTGATAGACCACTGCGCCACTCAGGAGGCCTTGTTTTGTCTGTTTTAAGTGCTATCTGAACCACATGTCCTTTGCCCTCTCTTTTAAATGCAGCAGTTTTCCCCATGAGACAGTTAGTTACCAATGTGGGCCCTGTCTGAGATTATCAGTCTCTTCTCCCAGTCTTTAAGGCCTGTGGGAAGAAAACATAAAATAGTTAGACAAAATCACCCTGTCCTCTCATCTGCTGACTGCGGTTCCTTTCTAAATAGATGATCAATGTGCACATTCTAAGACAAACTATAGGCCAATGACTCTACTTCATGTTGATATCTAAATCTTCACACCTTTCTTTTCATTTCTTTCCGCTTCTTCAAACAAGCCTGGCAGATGAATGACCACACCATTGCCTGCAGAGACAGAAGGGATGTTTTGTGTACAAATACATGTGATTTGATATTTAAAAAAATATTTGACAGTAGGCCTACATCTTACTGGCAAACCAAAGAGCAGAGTGACTGGTCAGGGTGAACAGTGGCAAACTGCTGATGACAGGGAATAGAGATGTACACACCGATCACAGAAACAGCTTTGGAGTTGATGATCCCACTGGGGAGGAGGTGGAAGTCATATTCCTTCCCGTCCACGACCACCGTGTGACCTGCATTGTTACCGCCCTGTGGTCAGAAGAACAAGAAGAACAGAGAGGGCACTCAGGAATGCAACAAATGTATGGGTTAGCTTATCTTATCCAACAAGTCTCCCCTATCTAGGCCACCCCCTCCTCCCCTAATCCCCTCTTCTCTGTTCCAGCCCCCCCTGCCTGCAGATACACAAGACTGACAAGTCACGCTATAACATGCCTGGGAGGGGGTGCCTGGGGAAATAGGTTTTCCCACATCAAACTAACCGGCAGTCCGCAGCACTAGAGTAGGAGCTATTTTAGCAGCAGCAGCGATCGGGACAAGGTGACACGACACCCCCACCACACACGTACTCCATCTAGTCTGGAATATGGGGAGGGGTGAGCAGTCTGCCCTTCTCATGTATCCATGCTTCCCCAGGCATGTGACTCCTCTTTATCCCCTGGGCTGGCAGGCACACTGGAGGAAGGGGGGCATCCCAAACTGACACTCTCTTACAGATGTAGGATCTTAATTTGATCCCATGTTGCAGGAGAACTTTCCTGCAATGCAGGAAATGTAAAACGTGAAGTGTATTTGAGGTTTAAAAAGGCTTCTGAGGTTTGTAATTTCCAATTTGAAATTTCAGACTTGATTAACCCTTACGAAAAATGTATCAACCCCTACAAATATGTCCATTAATTTTAATCCACATAATGATTCACATTTCCTGTGGCTGCAGTATTATTTTCCTGCTGTAGCAAACTGGCTCAAATCAAGATCCGACATCTGTATCTGTGCAACCAGGGGAAAATAGCTCCTTTGCAGTAAACTAGTGAAAACTTTCTTGGCACAAAGGAGACAGTCCACTATTTTCTTTTGCTTGTTGAGAAATGTATCCCCTCTGCAGCTGCATTTCAATCCTGTCTTTCTGCAGGAACTTCTCCACCAGTGGGACCACAGATTTATGCTCGCAGGATTACCAATTCCAGTCTCAATCTCTTCCTTTGGCAATGCCAAAGAGGAAACTAAATGTTCTAATGCTAACACGTTTAACACATCTCAGGGGGGATTTTGTCCCACTCCTCTTTGCAGATCTTCTCCAAGTTATTAAGGTTTCGAGGCTGATGTTTGGCAACTCGAACCTTCAGCTCCCTCCACAGATTTTCTATGGGATTAAGGTCTGGAGACTGGCTAGGCCACTCCAGGACCTTAATGTGCTTCTTCTTGAGCCAGTCCTTTGTTGCCTTGGCCGTGTGTTTTGGGTCATTGTCATGCTGGAATACCCATCCACAACCCATTTTCAATGCCCTGGCTGAGGGAAGGAGGTTCTCACCCAAGATTTGACGGTACAAGGCCCTGTCCATCGTCCCTTTGATGCGGTGAAGTTGTCCTGTCAGATGGCGCTAAAGAGCAAATTGCAATGAATTTGTAAATAAATAATCATGACAGTCATTGGGAGCCTGGGACCTGAACCGGACATGCACATCCATCAACAGTCGACGGACAGAGGGATACACTAGCTAGAACCTTCTCGAGGATCTGGTAGGACAATAAAAAACATGGCTCTGTGCCCAATTCGCAACACTGTCTTTTGTTTCTCCTGCCATTAAATGCTAGCTTCCGGCAAGCTAGCATACTAGTAGCTAGTTTGCTAGCTCACATGCCCATCAAGTCTAACTAAAGTTCCTGCGAGCTCGTCATCCTTGTGACATTATGCTAGCTAGCTATCCCTAGTTAGATTATTTGTTTTCACTTGTCGCATCTGTGCTTGTTGCATTTTCCCTGTGCTTGTCACCAATGCACTCGTGCACTGGCAGCAAGCTGCTCGTTCTAAAAATTTAACTTTTGGTCATCAAAACAGTGGCAGCACGTGCAGCAGAGGTGATTCTGCTTTTACATGCAAAGGTGTAATAGATGTATTTATGCTGTTGTTTAATTAAATGCACATATCACTTTATATATCTTCCCAAAGAAACAACCATAATTTGAAAATTTGGGCTGCCCTGGGTATTCAGCCAATCAGCTGCCACCACTGCATGGGCTAATTGAGTGACTTTAAGACATAACAAGAAGAAATCTGCTAATGCTCTATCAAATTTTGGAATTGCATGTTGTGTATTATACTATCCTAACTAACAGTAAGTTGAAAGCCCAACTGACTTCCTAAAAAATAATGTATAAAAATACGTGTTTTATATTTTATTTTGGTTGGGTGTTTTTATTTTTTGGGGGGTTGGGGGCCTCTAGTGGCCGCTTGTGTCGTTTATGCCTAGAAATGGCACTGCCTTCAGTAAATCAGTTGGTTAGTCTACCGTTACTCTGATGATCTGGGCTGTTGCGCGCCTCACTGCGTGTTGACATGTATCAGGCAATAGGACTGAGGGGTATGTGGCATGCCACTGACGTCGCTGAGACGTGAGACCTTTTGGGCTGTCTGTAACAAAGTATAGCAAGCACACTGTGGCGCTGGCATCCCTGGCCTCTGCTGGGCTGGGCTTCTCCGAGCCCTTACTGTAATAGAGCTTGCATAGATACCTTTATGCACATCACCAGAGCTCCAAACTCCTGTTGAGCCGGGTTCTTTTTACAACAGACGGGTATTTCTTTGAATAAACACAGGGTCTTCCAACCCAACATTTCACGGTGCTGCGCTGAAATAGTGAATGCCCAATCTGTTTTCTCTCATGCGCCTGGAAACAAAGTTAATGTTAAGGCACTATGAATCAATAGTGAAAGTTTTCACAATGGCACCTACTTTACACTGACTGACATTGCTCAGTTGCACAGCTGAGCTGCTGGAATTGTTAACCGGTGCGTAAAGCAATTTTGGCCCAAATAAACATAAAGGTCTTGCAAGTGAATACATTTCTTTATGTAATTTCTTTTTTATTTCCTCACCTGGCATCTGCAAATGATGTCCGACTCTGTTGCCAACAAGTCGACCACTTTTCCCTTCCCTTCATCGCCCCACTGTGCACCAAGTACAACTGTCACCTTGTTCCCCTTGTCATTTCGAGGTCGCTTCCCCCCTGTGCCGGGGTTTGCATAACAACTTTTGTGAGACATATTTATCCTACACCAGCGCACTGCACGCAGTAAAATGACAACCCGTATGTTACGAGAAAATATCCCTTCAGAGCTCAAGTAGAGACCGGTATAACCAAAAACGGGTTTGTAGCCTGATGTCGAGGGGGCACATTCACAGTAGTCTAGACTGCAAATGATCTCGTGTCTATATTTACTGTCAGATCATCATCAGTTGGTCAAGAGTAGCACGCAAGTGAGAGCCAATGAGAATTCATATCGTGTAGGCCTAATCATGTTTTTTGTATGCATTTGAATCATTCTCCGAGCGCTAGTCTCGTTTGGATGAAACTACGCGCACACGTTGCGCACTATGTTGAACCAATGGACCGGCGATATGCAACCATTTTAACTGTGAACATACTGCCCCTAGCTATTAGTACACACATATAAACGAGATAGAAAAATCTAATAAAAAAAATGCATGAAATGTATCAGATTATTTTATTGTATTTAGTGTATTTTATAGCCTACTAAATCCCTGATTATCATAGCTTTTTTTCAATGACAGTGTTAATGCAACAAAGAGTGCAATAAGAAACAATAACTGATACTGTTACAAAAGAGACTAGAGCACATTACACCTTGTTGTGTCTGGAAAAACAGGTTTTTATTATTATGGTCTATCTATGCTGTTACCTTGTCAATATTTAATGGCTAATTGATCATGAACCCATATTTTTTACAGTCATTACTACTTTGCTTGGCTGTAGGCTAAAGAGGCCCTCTATTTGCCAAATGAAACGAGGGTCTGTATCAACAAGTAAACATAACATGTAGAACTACTGTAAACATTTGTCTCAGTATCAAATTGAAACATTCTATACATAGACATGTTGATTTTCTTCAAATAATGTATCATATTTCAATGAAATTGTGTCCAATACATTGAATGTCCATGATGAAATTGTAACATGCAAATGAACCCATCATCATCCATCCTTCCTGGGGTTAGTTGTCAAGCAGTTAGTCATATCATTGCCACATGTCCTGTTATTGATGTAGTAAATAATACAAAGATAAGGAAGTCTCCATTTTGAAAAACAAACATTACCTAGGTTCGCTAGGTAATCCTTTAAAAAAAGTGGGACAAACATGCATGGCTGATATACATATTTGTAAGTACAGTATAATGTTAATGTATGCCATAGTATTTGTTTGGCAGACAGGGCTGGAGCACTGGAAGATGGCGTCAATGTTCATTCTTTCTTTTTGCCTTTGGCCTTGTCCTTCTTCTTGCGTCCACCTAGAAATAGAGATTCAAGATAGAATCAGTGTTGTTGCATACACCAACCACACAGCTATAGCTAATTTAATTTGCCCATAATACAAGAGGAGAGACTGTTGAGACCCATTGCTCCACTAGGAGCTGAAAGGAATAAGTCAAGTAAAGCAACAAGATGAGAGCACATGGAAAGGAAGCACCCCCCAAACAATGGAGACAAGGACACAAATATAGGTAAAGCTTGATGTTGTGAGATTTTAGTGAAGCTGTGTACTTTCAGGTGAAGTAGGTAGAATGGTCCCCTAACAACTGATCTAGGGTCAGATATTTGAATTGCTCTAAAGATAAAGGGTAACATTAGGGGTATAGATAGTCTGATTCCAGATCTATGAATAAGGGTAACTTCTACCTCAAGTGTATACATAACAAGGAAAGTGTATTGAGCGTCAGACCCATAGCAGTCCCTCTCTCCAGACTGCACACTGGCGGTTAGAAGAGAATAGACCCATAGACCCCACACATAAGTAATGTCAAAATCTGTGATTTTAACATCCCTTAGTAGAGTGACAAAGATTTACAGCAAAGTGACAACAAACTGCTTCCCTGACATGCTTCCCTGACAAAATGGGGGCAAACATTCATAAAAGAAACAAAATATGGGGGAAAATCTGGTAAAAACGTTTGCAGTAGTAAGTTCCCACTGGGCACACACTGGTTGAATCAATGTTGTTTCCACGCCATTTCAATGAAATTACATTGAACCAATGTGGAATAGATGCCGTCTAAGTCCCGAGTGGCGCAGTGGTCTAAGGCACTGCAGCGCAGTGCTAGCTGTGCCACTAGAGATCCTGGTTCGAATCCAGGCTCTGTCGTAACCGGCCGCGACCGGGAGACCCATGGGGCGGCGCACAATTGGCCCAGCGTCGTCCAGGGTAGGGGAGGGAATGGCCGGCAGGGGTGTAGCTCAGTTGGTAGAGCATGGCGTGGGGACCAGTATAAAAAAATAATGTATGCACTCACTAACTGTAAGTCGCTCTGGATAAGAGTGTCTGCTAAATGACTAAAATGTAATGTAAAAATGTCTGTGCCCAGCGGGTTGTTCTTAACGTCAAATGCAACATTATGTTTTATAGTGCCTTGTTCCTTGTTAGAAACAAAATGTAAAATACACAAAATGTTGCTCACACCGAGTGAATCAATAACAACCTAGAAATGACCCACAAAACCACTGGCCCAGATCTGATCTAATTCAATGATTTTCTCTGTGTGTGTGTGTGTGCATGTGTATGTGTTTGTGGTGGTGGTTGTTGGTAGGGAGAACAGGCAAAGTTTGGCTGAGGTCCTGCAGTGTTCAGTGGGTCGGTATGCGTTCCGCCAGGCGCAAGGGGTATCACATCTCCCATCATAAGGTCACCTCGGGTACTGGGGGGATCCAATGATGGCAAGCCTACAAATCACCATCCAGTGCTAGCTGACAGACAATATACAACCACCAAAAAGCCCCTGGAAGTCATCCATAAAGCACCAACACATAGCCAGCCAGGCTAACCACACCACATACCCCCCAGACATGGAAGAGAGCTGAGGCAGGAACAGTAACTGCAAGTGGCGTCTGAAAGGTCACTGAGGAAAGGGGAGGGATATGCAGGATGGACAAGACACAGAATTGACAGGAAACCAGTGAAACAGGACCCTTAAATCAAAAACCTGGTTAGATCCATGCAGGATTAGTGGATGGTGTTTCTTGGATTCTGAAAGCCTGAACGGAGGAGAACCTACCTCAATGTAACGCACAACCCTTTTTAGGTTTAGCGTGACCTTTTCCATAGCTCATGTCTGTTTTTAGGTAATTAAAGACAAGAAACATAGTTTTCCTTACAAGCGAAAAAAAATCAAGATGTGCAAGCATGGTTCATTTTCTATCGTGATGAGGCTAGTTTTGAAGACATTACCTTTGCTATGGCTCTTAGTATCCCCCCGTTTCTGTGCCTGTTGTTTGGGCTCTGCGTCACCAGCAGCTGTGGTTGAGGGGGACTCTGATGATTGACTCTCCTCTAACCCCATTCCATCAGCCCCACTCTCCTGGTTCCCATCTGTCTCTGTGTCTCCGCTCTTTGGACCATCCCCACCAGCTGAGAATGCATTCCTGTTCACATCCTCAACCTCTGATTCAGCAGCCTTAACCCCCTCCACCTCTGGGGACTCCTCCTCAACCAGGCGGTCAGCCAATGAATCCATCCCAGGGTTGAGGTCCTCACTCTGGGTGTGATCACAGGTTCCCTGGTCCTTGGCGGTGGTATTATGGAGGTCTGAGGGTCCTAAGGTTTCGGGTGAACTCGATTTGAGTGAGGGGTGTGTGGGGAGGCCGGATGAGGACTCCCCTACGACTGAATCTCTGTCTTGTTGTCTTTGGTCATTCGGTGATGTCACCTTTACATCTCTATCTTTAGCATCTATGACAGACAATCCCTCAGGCTTGGTGCCCTGCTCTAGGGGAGGAGAGAAAGGGAAATGATTAATTAAAGATACTAACATAAAGCATAACTAACTACATTTACCTCCTCTACAAACCTCCTCTACATTCAAGCCTTTCAGATCTACACAAGTGCCTAGGGGTTAGAGGTAAGAGGGTGTTTCTGGACAGGGCCTTAGTAATATCTTTCAAACAGCCCTGGGCAGCAGCAGAATCAATGGCCAGTCCCATCCTCATGCTCACCAGGCAGACTGCTGTCCCTTTTCTTGTCCGCAGAGGGCAGGCTGGTCCTGTCGGCCCGGGGCCTGGTCTTCCTCAGTGCATAGCCCTTCCTGATGTCAGACAGCAGGTGGTCGATGATGCAGCCCTCCTCCTGGACTGGGGGTGCTTTACGAACTGGGGGTGAGAGACAGAGGGTTCATCTCAAAACAGTCCACACTGACACATTCAATGTTCTGGAAGTGTGTTTGAATTTGGACTGGTGAACTGCAATGATCAAATGTGCACTTATAGGTGTTGACTGTCCTTAGAAAGTGGCATAATTTCCTAGTCTCCTTTCCTTAATCTGCACTGAAAGACTGGACAGTTAAAGGAAATGGAAGCCTTCTGTTTTGTGAGCAATGCTTTCACCTCCCCAGCTCTTCTAGATCAGTGCAGATTGAGACACAGCCAGGGAGAATCTCTTTCAGAATCTACACATGATCCATGTATGATTATGGTGTTGGTAATGGGACACTGTTGAGTCGTGACTGTAGTCACCAGGGAGGGCCATGAGGTAACAGTGTTATTTGGAGTGTTGGCTGGCGGTTAGACTCACTTATCTTCCCGTTATCCCCTCTCGGTCGCTTGGAATCCTCCTCCTCCTGCTGTTTCTTCCTCTTCTCTGCCTTGATGGCTTGCTCTCGGCGGGTCTGATTATCCTGGGATTTAAAACAGCAAGAGAAAACACACAGTAGCACAGGTGTCCAGAATGTGAAACCATAGCAATATGGTATTTAATCTCTGAACTAAATTGAAGGACCTATAGTCAAAATGTATGACCCGGTGTGTGGAATAAACACAGAAAGATATGCTTAAATTGAATGGTTTTATATAGGAAAGACAATAGGTGAAGTAGGTCCATTAGTTAGTTGTTTCTCTCACCTTGAGAGCTTTGATGAAGAGTCCCCTGAAGGTCTTTATAGTGCTGAACAGCTCCTGCAGAGAGAGATGGGATGAGTCCTCACACAGATACTGTGCCAGATCCTCCTTCTTCCTGTCAATGGAGACAAACCTCTCCTCCAGCACCCTGCAGGCCTCCAGGCTTCCCTAGAGTAGACAGCCAATTCAGAGGGATTTATTTAGTTATGATCTGGCAACAAACCCGATGAAGTCATTAATCTCTAACACTGTTTAAGGGGAGCTTGTGCGAAACTACATTGTCACCTGCTCTCTGGTGGTGAGGAGAGGTATTGCAACCCACCTGCATGGCAGTTAGATACTGCTCCTTGATGTCCTCCACAGAAGAGGAAGCCACCTTCTTCTCTGAATCTTTCAACCGCTTGATGAGTGAGCTCGCCTCTGTCTGGATAGACTCCAGATTCACACTGTGGAAGTAAACGATAAACTTGGTAAGGTTAGCATAGCCTCTGGTGTCAAGATTTGACTAGACTCCACAATGTTGTATACAGCTTTTTCCAATACCCAGCAGCCATTTCACAGATCTCTAGATCATCTGGAAGGTTCAACAGGTCATCATGGTTCTGCTCAGCCTCCTGTAGGATGTGGTGGAGCAGTGTAATGCGACTTTTATTGGCCTTGGTCTCAGTGAGCTTCAGCAGGGTTCCGATCTTGAAGCCCTGAGCATTCCCCGTGTGGCTCCCCTGTAGAACAGAGATAGACAGACAGTTCTCTCACTAACAACGTTGTTGTGAGACCATCTTTTTTTTGGGTTGGTTATACAGTGGGCTCCAAAATTACTGGCACCCCTGACTGGCAATGCACAAACAATATCATACAATTATTTAATACAAAATACAGTTCAAGTCGGAAGTTTACATACACTTAGGTTGGAGTCATTAAAACTCGTTTTTCAACCACTCCACAAATTTCTTGTTAACAAACTATAGTTTTGGCAAGTCGGTTAGGACATCTACTTTGTGCATGACACAAGTAATTTTTCCAACAATTGTTTACAGACATATTATTTCACTTATAATTCACTGTATCACAATTCCAGTGGGTCAGAAGTTTACACTAAGTTGACTGTGCCTTTTAAACAGCTTGGAAAATTCCAGAAAATGATGTCATGGCTTTACATGCTTCTGATAGGCTAATTGACATCATTTGAGTCAATTGGAGGTGTACCTGTGGATGTATTTCAAGGCCTACCTTCAAACTCAGTGCCTCTTTGCTTGACATCATGGGAAAATCAAAAGAAATCAGCCAAGACCTCAGAATTTTTTTTGTAGACCTCCACAAGTCTGGTTCATCCTTGGGAGCAATTTCCAAACGCCTGAAGGTACCACGTTCATCTGTACAAACAATAGTACGCAAGTATAAACACCATGGGACCACGCAGCCGTCATACCGCTCAGGAAGGAGACGCATTCTGTCTCCTAGAGATTAACGTACTTTGGTGCGAAAAGTGCAAATCAATCCCAGAACAACAGCAAAGGACCTTGTGAAGATGCTGGAGGAAACAGGTACAAAATTATCTATATCCACAGTAAAACGAGTCCTATATCGACATAACCTGAAAGGCCGCTCAGCAAGGAAGAAGCCACTGCTCCAAAACCGCCATAAAAAAGCCAGACTACGGTTTGCAACTGCACATGGGGACAAAGATGGTACTTTTTGGAGGAATGTCCTCTGGTCTGATGAAACAAAAATAGAACTGTTAGGCCATAATGACCATCGGTATGTTTGGAGGACAAATGACTGGAGGAAAAAGGGGGAAGCTTGCAAGCCGAAGAACACCATCCCAACCGTGAAGCACGGGGGTGGCAGCATCATGCCGTGGGGGTGCTTTGCTGCAGGAGGGACTGGTGCACTTCACAAAATAGATGGCATCATGAGGAAGGAAAATTATGTGGATATATTGAAGCAACATCTCAAGACATCAGTCAGGAAGTTAAAGCTTGGTCGCAAATGGGTCTTCCAAATGGACAATGACCCCAAGCATACTTCCAAAGTTGTGGCAAAATGGCTTAAGGACAACAAAGTCAAGGTATTGGAGTGGCCATCACAAAGCCCTGACCTCAATCCTATTGAACATTTGTGGGCAGAACTGAAAAGGTGTGTGTGAGAAAGGAGGCCTACAAATCTGACTCAGTTACACCAGCTCTGTCAGGACGAATGGGCCAAAATTCACCCAACTTATTGTGGGAAGCTTGGGGAAGGCTACCCGAAACGTTTGACAAAAGTTAAACAATTTAAAGGCAATGCTACCAAATACTAATTGAGTGTATGTACACTTCTGACCCACTGGGAATGTGATGAAAGAAATAAAAGCTGAAATAAATAATTCTCTCTAATTTTATTCTGACATTTCACATTCTTAAAATAAAGTGGTGATCCTAACTGACCTAAGACAGGGAATTTTTACTAGGATTAAATGTCAGGAATTGTGAAAAACTGAGTTTAAATGTATTTTGCTAAGGTGTATGTAAACTTCCGACTTCAACTGTAAATGTCACCAAAATCAAGGTTTCATAATTATTGGCACTCCTCATTTAGTTCTTAGTGCAACCACCTCTGGCAAGGATAACAGTCTTTTCCTGTAATGTTTGACAAGATTAAGGAAGCCATTTGGAGGGATTTTGGACCATTCCTCTATGCAGATCCTTTCAAGATCCTTCACATTCTTGGGTTTGCTCTTATCAACTGCCCTCTTCAACTCAGCCCACAGATTTTTTTATTGGATTGAGGTCCGGCGACTGAGATGGCCAATGGCAGAACATTGATTTTGTTGTCACAGAACCATTTCTGTGTGGATCTTGAGGTATGTTTTGGGTCATTGTCTTGTTGGAAAGTCCACCTACGGCGAAGTCCCAGCCTTCTGGCAGAGGCAACCAGATTGTCAGCCAATATTGTCTTATCCTTGGTGGAATTCATTATGCCAGCAATCTTAACCAGACCTCTGGAATTAAAACAGCCCTAAAACATCACTGACCCACCACCATATTTCACCGTGGGTATGAGGTGCCTCTCCTTGTATGCATCTCTGTTTCGACGCCAAACATGCCAATACTGTATCTGACCAAAACGTTCAATTTTGGTCTCATCTAACCAGAGCACCTTCTTCCAGTCATAATTTAAATGACGTTTGGCAAACTCCAAGCGCTTGCATCTGTGTCTTGGGTTCAGAAAGGGCTTTCTTCTGGCAACCCTTCTAAAGAGCCTGTGGTTGTGGAGGTGGTGTCTGATGGTGCTTTTTGAAACTTGGTGACCCCAAGACGCCACCAAGGCCTGCAAATCTTTCACAGTGATTATTGGGAATTTTGTTGCTTCTCTCACCATCCTCCTCCCTATCCTGGGGGGCAAAATGCATTTGCGTCCTCTACCCGTGAGGTTTTCAACTGTTCCATATCTTTTGAATTTTTTAATAATTGCCCTGACAGTGGTATATTCAATCGTTGTGGATCTTCTTGTAGCCATTACCAGATTTATGAAGGTCTACAACCATCTGTCTCTTTTGAACTGCCAGTTCTTTTGTTTTCTTCACGGTGTTGGATGACAAAGTGATATTGTTACCTCATTTTTATACCCTAGTGAAACAGGAAGTGATGTAATGGCTCAATATAGTTCCTTAAGACGTAGATACACTTAAATAAGTGGAATTTTATTCCTGGTTTAATTTTGGTAGATGTTATTTACAATAATCTTTAAGGGTGCCATTAATTGTGAAACCTTGATTTGGAGGACATTGATTTTTAATTAAATCAATAAATGATTTTGGTGGGTTCCATTGGAACATTAATATAGTACAGTATTTCTCACATGTTGGTATTCTGAGTTTATCTCTATAATTATATTGTTTATATTTTTTAAAGTATTGTTTGTGCATTGCCAGTCAGGGGTGCCAGTAATTTTGGAGCCCACTGTATGTATTGTATGGCATCACATGGTATGGATTCTTACGTGGTTAAGGAAGTTTCCAACGTCCAGAATGAGCTTGCAGAAGCTTGGCAGTCGAGTGCTCACCCTCAGACCTTATAGGATAGAAATAATAACCAAATAAAGATAATAAAATCAAATGAATTTGAATTAGTCATAGGGGCGATGAGGGTAGTAGGTCAGCTAGCCTGGTCCTGGACTTACTCTCACAGGCCTCGTCCAGCAGCTCAGCTTTAGGCTGCATCATCTGTAACACTGAGCTGATCTCCTCACACAGCAACATGCACTCGATCCTCAGGGCGTAGCTGGGGTCAAACACATACACACGACCAAGGTCAACATCCAGGGTGAATCCGTCCTAGCTCATTGAAAGCTATTAAGCTGTGGAGAACTTTACCATGGAACAGCTAGGAGCTGGAGATAAAACTGGTCCACACCAGCTAGCTTCTCCCTCTCTCCCTGGTAGGACTTGAGGTTCTCAATCTGAGTGGTGGAAAAAACAATCACTTTCCTATGACCATAAACTGACAACAAACATTTGGTTCACAACACTATATCGCTATCAAAACGGAAAATGTATTTAGATCTAAAAATACATTGTCACAACACTATATCGCTATCAAAACTGAAACTGTATTTAGATTTAAAAATACATTGTGGCCACTTGGAATGAACCAATGAACTTGGCAGAGGTTCCTGTGCCGGCACGCACCTCGTGCTTCTCTGGCTGTAGCTTCTGCAGCTGTTTCAGCACCTCCACATCAAACTTGGAGCGGTCCCCTTTTTGGATCATGGCCACAAAGTCCTCATGTGAACTGTTAGGGGACATACAATGTACAAGTATTCATACCCCTTGACTTATTCCACATTTAGTAGTGTTACAGCCGGAATTATGATTACATTAATTTTTTTCTCTCACTCATGTACACACAATACCCCATAATGACAAAGTGAAAACATGTTTTTAGAAATTTGAGCAAATCTATTCAAATGTAATACAGAGATATCTCATTTACATAAGTATTCACACCCCTGAGTTAATAGATGTTAGAATCACCTTTGGCAGCTATTACAGCTGTGAGTCTTTCTGGGTAAATCTCTAAGAGCTTTGCACACCTGGATTGTACAATATTTGCACATTATTATTTTTAACATTCTTCAAGCTCTGTCAAGTTGGTTGTTGATCATTGCTAGACAGCCATTTTCAAGTCTTGCCATAGATTTTCAAGCCGATTTAAGTCAAAACTGTAACTAGGCCCCTCAGGAACTTTCAAAGTAATCTCTGTAAGAATTCCAGTGTATATTTGGCCTTGTGTGTTAGGTTATTGTGAATTTGTCTCCCAGTGTCTGTTGGAAAGCAGACTGAGCCAGGTATTTCTCTAGGATTTTTCCTGTGCTTAGCTCTATTCCATTTATTTTTATACTTAAACTCCCTAGTCCTTGCCGATGACAAGCATACCCATAACATGATAAAGCTGGTACTCAGTGATGTGTTGTGTTGGGTTTGCCCCAAACATAACGCTTTGTATTCAGTACATAAAGTTAAATTCTTTGCCACATTTTTTACAGTTTTACTTTAGTGCCTTCTTGCAAAGAGGGTGCATGTTTTGGAATATTTTTATTCTGTACAGGCTTCCTTTTCACTCTGTCATTTAGGTTGGTATTGTGGAGTAACTACAATGTTTCCTCCTATCACAACCATTCAACTCTAACTGTTTTAAAGTCACCATTGGCCTCATGGTGAAATTGCTGAGCGGTTTCCTTCCTCTCCAGCAACTGAGTTAGGACACCTGTATCCTTGTAGTGACTATTGACTATTGATACACCATCCAAAGTGGGAATAACTTCACCATGCTCAAAGGGATATTCAATGGCCTCCCGAGTGGCACAGCGGTCTAAGGCACTGCATCCCAGGATGTCAGCCCCCCCCAAACCCGGACGATTGTGTGCCACCCTATGGGACTCCCGATCACGGATGGTTTTGATACAGCCTGGGATCGAACCCAGGTCTGTAGTGACGCCTCTAGCACTGCAATGCAGCGCCTTAGACCACTGCGCCACTCGGGAGGCCCGACATAAAATCAATTTTAAATTCTGTCTGTAACACAACAAAATGTGGAAAAAGTAAAGGGGTGTGAATACTTTCTGAAGGCACTGTATTTCAACACCCTTCTACTGTACATATCAACTATCAAAGTTTCCTCCTTTACTAAGACTCTCTTCTTCATATTTCCTGCCTGAAAATACTCACCATCTGAATTGTTTTAAGAATATGTTCAGGTTAAGATTTTTCTTGGCATCGATGAAAGAAATCTGTAGATGGAGAAAAAGTATGATGCTTGAAATTAAAACAGGGGATGGGTTAAGGAAAATGACAATGATGAAGGGAGAAGAGAGAGTGAGATAAGGCCATTTCAAAGTCTAATGAGGTGGAGTAAGACCACATCGATTACTCTCTCTACCTCTTTGGGCTCCTGTTTGACTGCAGGGGCACTGCCTTTGGCCTTTGACTCAGTCACTGGCAGACAGAAGAGCTCCTCAATACTGGAGTAGTCAGGCTCCAGAGAATCTGACTGTACCGATGTCCACATGGAGTAACTGTCTGGAGCAAGAGAAAAAAACGGTGTACAGTATTTTAATTGTGACTTATACACTATACTCTGAGTTGAAATGTATCCAATTTACACTTATCAGGGTCAACTATATTTGTTAGTTTAATTCAATGGTGACACAATCTGACAGGTCCCTTACCAGTCACCACTCTGGACGGCAGCTTCTGCCAGTTGAGCTTCTTCATGCGTAGTGTGGGGCAGCGGCCCGCCTTGGGAGGACGGGCATAGGAGGATCGGCCCAGCATCTGCACGCTCTGGGCCATAATCATGTCACCGCCACCAGGGGGAGGTGGGGGACCCATACCAGGCAGGGGTGGTGGTGGTGGAGGACCCATGATGCCAGGTAGGGGTGGTGGTGGTGGGGGACCCATCCCAGGCAGGGGTGGGGGAGGTGGTGGACCCCCATTCCCCATCCCTGGTAGAGGAGGTGGAGGTGGGGGAGGAGGGAGACCGGGGAGAGGAGGGGGAGGTGGAGGGGGCGGCATCCCAGAGAAGCCAAGAAGCGGTGGGGGTGTGCCGAAAGCTGCCATGCCTGGTAGGGGTGGTGGTGGGGGAGGAGGAGGAGGAGGAGGAGGGGGGGGTGCAGTGGCAACAGGGGAGGTAGATCCTTTAATGACAACCAAATGATCGGTCAATCTTTCCGTCATGTCTATCTGAACGCCCCTGTCTGTGGTCTTGACCTTAGGTGACCCTTGCTGACCCTTGAAGGACACCAGACGTTCCATCAAGCGGTCGGTGGAGTCAACTTCAGCTAAAGAACACACACACACACAGACAATGTCAGAGCGACATAATATAAACCAGCCAAAACATGTCAGCGTACATTGGCCACACTTAATAAATTGTGAAAATAATGTTTTTATGGACTATGACAGTGATTGATCTCAGACTCACGGTCCTGTGCAAGCAGAGTAGCGCGGTCAGCCAGGGCCTCCAGGGCCAGCCACACCTCGCTGCGCTCCGGCCCCAACAACAACAGAGCCTGCAGGATGGACAGCAGCTGCACCGAGGCAGGGTAGCTACTCACCTGGAGCGAGAAGGGAGGGGGGGTTATGTTATTTGTATTATCTGCTGTGGGTTTTATTTACAAATAAATACACCCTTTATTGGTGCTTACTTTGGTGAAGAGTGTGGTGAAGACTTCCTGGTGACTGCTCATGTCAATACCTCCGTACACCCTCTCCATCTCCTCCTCATCCTCTGCCATGGTGTACGCAAAGTCCTCACACTGGATGTTCAGGTCCACATCATCCGTCTCCCTGTAACACACACACAAACACACATGAATACGTATTTCCACAGGGAAAAACTAGTTGTAGTGTGAAAGAAAATTGGTGTGCTGTGCATAACAGAGCATTTGCTTATTCACAAAAAGTTTACATATATTTGAAATAAATCAAAAATAATTATGCAAAAAATACTAAACTTACCTCAGTTTTGGAAGTAAATCCAGTAATTGTAGCCCTGCGAGACAAAGAATAAGTCACAGTTAGACATTTTCATCCAGTTTGACATGTCCACATAGAGATCCTATTCAATTACTAGAGGGGGATTGTTACAAATCCTCAAAGTTCTACAATGGGGTGAAAATGGCAGCCATATTGGTCAGGGAGAAATCCAAACCAGTCTAATTGAATTAATGGCAGTAGAGGCATAATCCTGATTTTACTTATAAAGTAAAGCATGTGATATAGATCGGAAATTGTGTAATATAATTATTGTCAAACTAAAATATTGTTATATAATTATAAATACAGTTTATACAGGTGTTATACAACTTTTCTGTATAAATAGCCTCTAAAATATATGTAAACAGACCATAAATGTCAACATGCTATTATATATACAGTATTTCAGCCAGTGTATGTCTGTGGACTGCATTGTTTGAATATTGGCATATTGGCAGTTAATTAAACAAATTAATAGAATCATTCCTCTAAAACTGGCTGGCTGGCTATCTAACCAACAAACATACAGTGAAGATAAATTCTTCAAATTCATTATTTTACACAATATCTTATCACAGCACTGGCAAGCCATGCCCTGACCAAAATGGCTGACCTTAATACCGTCATAAGAAGGTTCATGGCCATTCTAGTATTCTAATTCCTAATTCTATGAATGTCCATCTCTATTTCCTGTATTTCCTGTATAAGTCATTGCTTATAACGATTGCAATATCTTCATCGTTATGATAGATTTTTCAACATATGAAGCACTGTACATAAGCATTGTTGTGGTACGTCTTGATACTAGTAATCCATTTGGGCATGGTTGATCTTTAAAGGGTACAGCCACTCCTTAAGCCTCTCCGTTTCCTGGGCAACAGTAGTTGAAGGTCAAGTAGACATATACATGGCAATGGAAACCTTTCTCAAGAAACAATGAGTGAATCTAAATACTAAAAAGGGAGTTAGTCTCCGTGTTTCTTTTTTTCCATTCACACCTGTGCTTCTTTATGTATGTGAGTGTTGAAAAAGCATGATTAAGAGGTAGTGATACCGATGAACTCTTTGCGTAGTTTGTCCCTCTTCCTCAGGTCCTCTACCCCGAAGATGATCACATTGACCACACTCATGAGGATGACCATATACGGCACGTTGTCTGTCGCATGCAGCTCGTTCATGATGACGCTGAAGCGGTACTGGTGCATCTTCACACTCTGACAAAGATATATAGTTATAAAGATAACATAAGTCATCATCCTTAATTCATGAAGAGCGGGGATATGTCTTATCTAAATTAGGTTTTCCTTGTCTTAGATGAGGAAAAATATGTTTTCACAGGCCTCCTTTAATATTTTGTAGGAATACAAGGGGGTATCAATGCTACTTCAGCAGAAAACTGCTTTGAAAGTAAACCATATGAATATAAGAGCCTTACTTTATAGTGATCCAAGGCGTCCATGGCCAGGTGGTGTCCCTGTGGGTTGAACATGCTGAGGGCTGCCAGCAGCTCAAACACCTGCATCTTCACCATGGTGTTGGACGTGTCCAGTGCTGCCAATCAAAACAGATATCATGTCCCAACAGACAGACAGACACCTCCTCCCAAGCACCTTTGCCAAAACTCTTGCCCCCCTTCTTACTAGCCCTCTTCCTCACCTTGCGACAGGGTCCTGACGTATCCCTCATTGTCCAGAATAAAGTGCAGCCCAGCGGAGGAGTTCATCACTGCCTTCACACAGGCCACACAGGTGAGCTGGAGGAGGGCGTCAGCGATGCGGGCACACCCACGGCCAGACAGCCTCTCCAGGGCCTCCATCAGCAGATCCAGCCCATTGAGCTCCAGGAACTGCACCATCCAGTCCTGGTCACTCCCCTCCAGACGCCTCCGCAGCCCTGAGTAGTTGACCACAGTGGGTACCTGTAGCAGTCGTATGCATAGCTCTGGATCTGCATTCTCCAAGTTGGCCTCCAGGTGAGCATCTGGGTCTGGGGGGCTGCTGGTCAGGTGCTCCTTTAGGGCCCCCCACTTCCCTTTGGATGCCTTGGCTGCCATGGCAACCGAGAAAGGTGAGCTAGAGGTAGAGAAAAATCGTGCAATGTTAGTGTTGTGAAACAGAGACCCACAACAATTGAAACAACATTTTACAATAAGTCTGTATTTTATGCATTGGTTGGATTCGGAGGAACTACAAAGCATTATTGGGAAGATAGACAAAACTAAAATTGGAGGTAGTGAAAAACAAACATCCTCTTATACTGAAACTCGGAAAATCCTACTTGTAAGCAACAAGTTGTGTGCATTCACATGCTTTGAACTCGTTGAGAACGCCTGCTTGGCTAATGGCAAACAAGCTGTGTCAACCATAAACTAAAAGTATAGATATCTTGCTCATAACCAATTTATAGTGTTCAAAAACCATATTAATAGATTTATTTTTATAAATAATGTTTTGTTGTTGCATTTAACTGCCGAAAATGCTGTTATCAAGGTAATTTCCTTAGTATACTAGGTGCTATCTAGAACCTAAAAGGTTTCTTCGACTGTCCCCATAGGATAACCTTTGTAGAACCCTTTTTTGTACTAGGTAGAACCCTTTTGGTTCCAGGTTGAACCATTTTGGATTCCATGTAGAACCCTTTCCACAGAGAGTTCTACATGGAACCAAAAAGGGTTCTCCTATGGGGACAACCGAAGAACCCTTTCGGAACCCTTTTTTCTAAGAGTGTAAGTGACGTCAGAGTTCATCATGTGGGAGAAGTCGGAGCTCAGGATGGAATGACAGAAGTGTTTCACCCTAGCAATTACGAGTTGGAGGGGCATTCAAGTGGATTATTTCCAGGCGTATGCTCGTATTTACGAATTTACGAGATGTTATGAACACAGCATTAGCATTGTCTAAAAAGCTGAAGTTGGTTGCTGTTGCTAGTGTGTGGTCCCTTTTACAATGGAACAAAAACCATATTTCAGTTGTTGTTCCCTCCTCTCTTATATACCACTTTCAGTATAAGATCAAGATGAAATGTTAATGAAAGTTGGGTGAACGATCACTTTAAAGGTTCTATCAGTTCTGAGTGAGACTGTTTGGACTTTACAGAGTTCTATAGAGGGCACACCACTAGTAGGCCTATGCCCTGTCCCAGACAGCAAGCTCAGATATCAGTCACTATCTCTGTGTCTTTTGCTGAGGTCGTCAGATCTGACTCCAGGTCATGCAACTGGAGATGGACGGCATGTGGCAGAACTTAAGCCCACTGGGCCACCACAAGAAAGAAGTGCAAAGTTATAATGGATGAATGTGAGAGGTGGGACATTTACTAATAGACAAGACAGTTTTTCAATTTATTTTGTATTTTATTTCACCTTTATTTAACCAGGTAAGCCAGTTGAGAACAAGTTCTCATTTACAACTGCGACCTGGCCAAGATAAAGCAAAGCAGTGCGATTAAAAACAACAACAACACAGAGTTACATATGGGATAAACAAAAACGTACAGTCAAAAACACAATAGAAAATATATATACAGTGTGTGCAAATGTAGTAAGTTATGGAGGTAAGGCAATAAATAGGCCATAGGGCAAAATAATTACAATGTAGTATTAACACTGGAATGATAGATGTGTAGAAGATGATGTGCAAATAGAGATACTGGGGTGCAAATGAGCAAAATAAATAACAATATGGGGATGAGGTAGTTGGGTGGGCTAATTACAGATGGGCTGTGTACAGGTGCAGTGATCGGTAAGCTGCTCTGACAACTGATGCTTAAAGTTAGTGAGGGAGATAAGAGTCTCCAGCTTCAGAGATTTTTGCATTTCGTTCCAGTCATTGGCAGCAGAGAACTGGAAGGAATGGCGGCCAAAGGAGGTGTTGGCTTTGGGGATGACCAGTGAGATATACCTGCTGGAGCGCATACTACGGGTGGGTGTTGCTATGGTGACCAATGAGCTAAGATAAGGCAGAGATTTGCCTAGCAGTGATTTATAGATGACCTGGAGCCAGTGGGTTTGGCAACGAATATGTAGTGAAGGCCAGCCAACGAGAGCGTACAGGTCACAATGGTGGGTAGTATATGGGGCTTTGGTGACAAAACGGATGGTCCTGTGATAGACTACATCCAATTTGCTGAGTAGAGTGTTGGAGGCTATTTTGTAAATGACATCGCCGAAGTCAAGGATTGGTAGGATAGTCAGTTTTACGAGGGCATGTTTGGCAGCATGAGTGAAGGAGGCTTTGTTGCGAAATAGGAATCCGATTCTAGATTTAACCTTGGATTGGAGATTCTTAATGTGAGTCTGGTAGGAGACTTTACGGTCTAACCAGACACCTATGTATTTGTAGTTGTCCACATATTCTAAGTCAGACCCGCCGAGAGTAGTGATTCTAGTCGGGCGGGCGGGTGCAAGCAGCGTTCGATTGAAGAGCATGCATTTAGTTTTACTAGCGTTTAAGAGCAGTTGGAGGCTACGGAAGGAGTGGCATTGAAGCTCGTTTGGAGGTTTGTTAACGCAGTGTCCAAAGAAGGGCCAGATGTATACAAAATGGTGTTGTCTGCGTAGAGGTGGATCTGCGAGTCACCAGCAGCAAGAGCGACATCATTGATGTACACAGAGAATAGAGTTGGCCCGAGAATTGAACCCTGTGGCACCCCCATAGAGACTGCCAGAGGTCCAGACAACAGGCCCTCCGATTTGACACATTGAACTCTATCTGAGAAGTAGTTGGTGAACCAGGCGAGGCAGTCATTTGAGAAACCAAGGCTATTTAGTCTGCCAATAAGAATGCAGTGATTGACGGAGTCGAAAGCCTTGGCCAGGTCGATGAAGACGGCTGCACAGTACTGTCTTTTATCGATCACGGTTATAATATCGTTTAGGACCTTGAGCGTGGCTGAGGTGCACCTATGACCAGCTCGGAAACGAGATTGCATAGCGGAGAAGGTACGGTGGGATTCGAAATGGTCGGTGATCTGTTTGTTAACTTGGTGTAATGAATACTCGGACAGAGTGGTAAGATCCAATCGCAGAATTGCGATGCTTTATTAGAGTACAGACAAGGGAATAGCTTAATCGTAGTCGGGCGGGCTGTGGTCAAAACCGGGCCAGGCAGAGACAGAGACTTCTGAGCACACCTTATATCCTACACTAATTACTGACAGGTGTGCTCAGAACTCAGGTGAACCAGATCGAGTCTGATGACTCCCCCTCTCAGTAGATCGGGGAAGTGTCAGACTCTGTCTAGACCCAGCCAACCCCCGATCCCTTACAGTATCCCCCTCCCCAGGGCCGGCTCCTGACGGCCTTCTACCTCTACCGGGTGGTCTTCCTCTGGGTTGGGGTCCTGGATGATCTGGGTGTTCAGCGTGGAAGGTGGCCTTGAGAGCGGGGTCCAGTATGTCCTTAGCAGGGATCCAGGACCGTTCCTCAGGTCCATATCCCTCCCAGTCCACGAGATATTCGATGCCCCCTCGTCTCCGTCTTGACTCCAGTATCTCGTGGACTGTATAGGTGGTGTCCTGTTCATCCTCCAAAGGTGGTGTAGTAGGTTGTTGAGCAATTGGGGGGTACATCGGGCTATAGTGGACAGCTTTCAACAGGGAGACGTGGAACGTAGGGTTTATCCTGTAGTGTCGAGGGAGTAACAGACGGTAGGTGACAGGGTTAATACGTCTCAGTACCTTGAAAGGCCCGATGTACCTGGGTTGGAGCTTCTTGCAGCTCCGTCGGAACCGCAGGTCTCGGGTAGACAGCCACACTCGTTGCCCAGGTTGATAAGTGGGAGTAGGTCTCCGGCGTCGGTCGGCGTAGGTCTTTTGCTGTTGTGAGGCCTGACTGAGATGTTGATGGGCCGTCTCCCAGACCTGCGCACTCCGACGGAACCACTCGTCCACCGCCGGTACCATCCCGGGTGCGGTATCCCACGGGAACAGGGGTGGTTGATACCCTAGAACACACTGGAAGGGCGTTAGACGTAGGGAGGTGTGAATGAGTGAGTTCTGAGCATACTCTACCCAAGGAAGGAATCGGCTCCACTCTTGCGGCTGCCGCGAACATTGTTGCCGTAGATACTTCCCAATTTCCTGGTTGAGCCGTTCTGTCTGCCCATTGGCCTGGGGATGATATCCGGAGGTGAGGCTCACCGAGATGCCCAAGCGTTCGCAGAAGGCCTTCCATACCCGGGATACGAACTGGGGTCCCCGGTCGGAAACAATATCCTCCGGAACACCAAACTGCCGGAACACCTGGTTAAACATAGTCTCAGCCATCTGAGTGGCGTTAGGTAAACGGGTCATGGGTACTAACCGGCACATCTTGGAGAATCGATCGATGACCACGAGAATTACAGTATGGCCCTCTAATTCTGGTAGGTCGGTAACAAAGTCCATAGCAATGTGCGACCAGGGTCGTTGAGGAGTTGGCAATGGCATCAGCTTACCCTCCGGTAGTGCTCGAGGCGCCTTGGACTGAGCACATACTGGGCAGGATAATACGTAGTCTCTGACGTCATCTGTGAGGGAATCCCACTAGTATTTTTTTCGACTGATGAGTCGTGTAGTTCGAGTGATTCCGGGATGACCAGATCCTAGCGACGTGTGGCACCATTCCATCAGTTGAGGTCGAAGCGGAGCTGGTACAAACACCTTCGACACCTGGGTTTCTGGAGGGGCTGGTTCCGTTTGTAGGCTCGCCTGAATAGTGTCATCGATAGCCCACCTCACAGGACCAGCACAGCAACTCATGGGGAGGATAGGTTCTGGTTCCACGGGTCTTTCCGCGCGCTCGAACCGTCGGGAAAGCGTGTCCGCCTTACAATTCTTGGACCCGGGAATATAAGAGACAGTGAATTGGAAACGGTTGAAGAATAAAGACCACCTTGCCTGTCGGGAGTTCAGTCGTTTAGCACTGTGAAGATACTCCAGATTGCGGTGGTCCGTGAGCACTTGGAACGGATGATCTGCTCCCTCCAGCCAATGTCTCCACTCCTCCAGTGCTAACTTCACCGCCAGTAATTCACGATTTCCCACGTCGTAGTTCTGCTTGGCAGGATTCAGCTTCTTAGAAAAAAAAGCACAGG